CCAAAAGACTCCAATTTGCATCTTCTTGCACACTTTGGCCTTATAATCTGAAAATACACAAAAGTGGCCTTAAACACTAAAACAACTAAGTAAACACAACATAAATGCACGAGAACAAGCTAATTAAGTCGCATGAATATGCTCCTATCAAATTCCCCCACACTTAACTTTTGCTAGTCCTCGAGCAAAACAAAACAACTAAAATAAACAAAATGAAACAAAACAAACAAAACATAACCTAAACCTTCCAACGTTTGCCTCAGGGATTTCCAATGCAACATGACATGTCAAAGATCATTACTCACATAGCTTTTAGTCTTCCTTCCCCTCAAGCACATACTTAATCATAGTCACCATTCACTAGTTCGCATTTAATCAAATAAAACACATTTTGAATGTAGTAACATGCCTTAGAGAATTCCCTCAATTCCTCACTAGTTATGCACTCAATTTTCACTCAGATTTTCTGACTACACACCCTACACTAGTTATATGTGAGAAGATTGATGTAAACATGAAAGACAAGTACTCACATACGTTATAACAAAGAAAGCAATTTCTGGAGTAATTACACGTGTTTAGATATGATCTCATGAATGGAATGCTACTACTTAGATGCGAGAACCAGTGACACCATATGCTCATACCAAATTTAAACTCCACAATTGAAATGCACAACACTCAAGATAGAAGTCAAGGGTTGTAACGGGGCTTGGGGTTTTGGCTAACAAGGGAAGGTAAGGAATAACAAACGTTCTTTAAGCAATAATAAGTAAAGTAATGAAATCAAGACCTAGAATTCCCTTAGAATGCAGAAATCAACTTTTAAACAAATAGGGGAGCTTCAAACAACTCTTAGGGCCTAATTCATTGTTTTGGGCCCTTACTTCAACAACCAATACTTTGGAACTCTTTTTCACTTCTTTTTTTCATTCTTTTTTTCTTTTCTTTTCTTTTCTTTCTTCTTTTTTTTTTTTTTTTTTTTTTTTTTTTTTTTTTTTTTTTTTAACCGTGCCAATGGCACAAAAACTCACATCCATAATCATTCCCCCACACTTATTTTCTGCAACACATTAATCAAAAGGAATTCATTGCTTACTATGCTTCAAGAACAAGGGTACGGATGGTCCTAATCTAGGCTAGGTGAGGATAATGTGGGTTAACAAAGAATATGGGCTAACACGGCTCAATGGGGTGAAACTTAAACACAAAATGAGTGAAGGGCACATGGCTGTTTGGCTATGGTGGTGGTCACTACACAACTTCATCTTGAATATGTGTTATGCAAATCAATGACATGCTTTGAATGAAATGGGCATGAGTTCTAGCATTTGGAACTAAGTGATGAAACGCCTTCTAAGTAGTAACCAAGCAAAGAATACTGAGATCATGCAACGACTTAGAAAACAATGATGCAAAGATTATAACTCTCCAAATAATGTTTAGGCTCAAGTCTCACCGGGATGTAGCGTTTGTTTGAGTTCATTCCTTCAAGCATGTTACAAAAACTAATTTTTATCATTTGTGATTACATGTGAATTCGTAAACTATAACGACAACCAAGCATAAACCAAAGAGTATATCAAACGTCCATCCATGTTTGTAACTTTCTTTAACCATCATGCAATTAAAAACCAAATCCTCATCATTGTGTTGGAAGGTGACCTACGACACAAGCAAACACACAAAAACAACTCTTTTTGGGTTTTTCAAAACAATTTTTCAAATTTTTATGGTATTTTCGGATTTTTAAGTCAACACACTCTAAAACACTCTAAAATAGCTTAAAAACACTTAAAAACAGCAAAGAACAAGTTTAGACATGTTAGGTTGTAATACCCTACGAATTTCATGCACAAATATCTCAAAACAGAATGTTACCCCCCCCACACTTAAACTAAACATTGTCCTCAATGTTTTAGACACAATTAAAAACACAATACAAAACACATAAAGTAAGCAACAAAGGAAAGGGTTTAGGGACGCAAATCTGAGTGTGGAGCGATTCCCAAGTTCTTCCTTTGTTGATTGCATGGGTTGCCTCCCAAGTAGCGCTTGCTTTAACGTCTTCCAGCCGGACGAAACTTCCACTTGAAGGTTTATGGAACCCCACGGCATAGAGGGGTGCAACTACAATCTGTCCGACGAACCACTTCATGCTTTGGGTCCTTGAATGGAGTGGGATAATGATCCTTTCTTATTGTCGTGTTTTTCTTTTCTACATCAACACGAATTCTCCCACGACGTTTAATTCGATTCGGTACCTGCACCACACGAGGTAACAACCTATTAGTGGAAATGGGAATCAAATTTGGAATAGGTGGCTTACCTTTGTACGGCAAAGAAGTGGTAGCACAATGGACGGATGCACAAGAGCTGCTCATGGCCAATTGTGGTCCTTTCAAGGTTGGAGCCGTGCATTCCTTGTTCTCTACTCCAAGTTCCTTCTCGGTGGTAGTTCGAGAAACTTCCTTCTTGATCTTTGTTGAACACTCCGTCCCTATGTCTTCAATTACATTAATGGCACTACAAGAACGAACATCATTAGTAGTCTCAATCGATTCAGGAATCTTAAAGTTAATCATATCACCACCAAAGGCCATAGTGACTGCTCCCTTGGCCACATCAATCTTGGTTTGAGCCGTTTTCATGAAAGGTCGTCCAAGTAAGAGTGGTGATGATGGAGAGTGTGCCGAATCTTCCATGTCAAGCACATAGAAATCTGCAGGAAAAATCAAATGGTCTACCTGCACCAAAACATCCTCCAAAACTCCTTTCGGGTATGCATTAGATCTATCAGCTAATTGAATAATAACACCATCCTTTTTAAGCTCTCCTAGATTCATAGATGCATAAACAGAATATGGCATGACATTAATTGAGGCACCTAAATCTAGCATGGCATGTTCGAACTTTGTATTTCCAATTACACAAGGAATAGTGAAACTACCTGGATCTTTGCATTTAGGAGGTAGTTTGCGTTGCAAGATGGCAGAGACATTCTCACTTACATGAACCACCTCTTTTTCTTGAATCCGTTTCCTTGTTGTGCAAAGCTTTTTCAAGAACTTCGCATACTTCGGGATTTGCTTGATTGCATCCAAAAGGGGTATGTTGACTTGAACTTTTCTAAATGTCTCTAGAACATCTTTTTCCTCCTCTTCTTTCGTGGATTGCAAAAATCTGCTAGGAAAAGGAACATTGGGTGGAACAAAGTTAGAATTAATCAATTTTGACCCCAACTTACCTTTGGTGGCCGAATGAGATGAGTTGGGTGCATTAATGTCCCTTGGTATTTGCGGCAAGGGTGTTTGTACCCTTGCCGTGGGCTTGCTTGCTTCCTCCTCTTCATGTTGCAGTTTTTCATCCTTGTTATGACCTGTATTTGATGTAGGACCTGCCCCAACTTCCTTACCACTTCTTAGGGTGATTGCTTTAGCTGATTCGAAACCTCCCTTCGGATTTGGAATAGTGGAACTAGGGAGTTGTCCGGGATCTCGAAACTTACCTACAAACTCGGCAATCTGCCCAATTTGTTTCTCAAGTTGATCCACCCTCTTATCTTGGTTTTGCATAGCCTTCGCTTGATCTTCCTGCCCATTAGACAACTTAGTTAGTATCTTAATAAGTGCATCATTGTCAAGAGACGTACCTGAGGCACTTGGGCCGGATTGGGCTTGATTTTGGGGTGGGCCGTAGGTTTTGGGAAAGAACCCCGGGGGTTGTTGCCTAAAGCCTCCTTAGTTCTGAGGTTGCTGGGAATCCCTCCAATTGAAATTTGGGTGGTCTCGCCACCCCGGATTATACGTATTGGAGTATGGATCATGTCTTGACTGATTTTGGCTTTGAAATCCAATGGCGTTGGCGCTTTCCCATCCACCATTTTCTATGAGCTGTGGGCACTTCTCCGATGCATGTCCTTGGATCGAACACACCCCGCATACAACTGGTCCTTGCATCCTCATTGTCACAACCCGTCCCGGAATTTTTAATTCCGAGGACGTGAAGTTACGAAAATGCCCTTAAACGAGACTAAGGGGCGTAAAGTTGGCATTGGTTTTTACCTGAAGTTCCTAAACTAATGTTAATTGGAATATTCATTAGTTTTAGGGACTTAAATTTAAGACTTAGAACTAGGTTTATATGTTATAACTTGATGATTTGGGGATTGGGTAGGACCCCACATCCCTCAAATATCTCCCCCATTCCCGTACCTTGTCCCTCTCTCTCTCCTCCCTCACAAATCTCCCATTCTCTCTCAGATCTCTCTCTCCTTCGAACTCACACGGACCACCCACAAAACCACCCTAAAACTATACCAACGAAGGATCTAAGACCACCATCGTACTCCTGAAGACCACACGAACACGATGGTACCAATTTTAGGTGAGTTTCACTTCGGAAAACATGGATTTCAATTTCACTGTGTGTGTGCACTGTTCATGCACACGTAAAACTTGATGTTTTTTGGGATTTTGAAGCTTGTAGGAAGCTTGGTGAGGTCCTAAGGAAGCTCGGAGTGCTTCGTTTAAAGGAATTGGATGTCGGGACCACGAACTGTAAGTTTGGCCGGAGCTTTCGGGGCTTTTTCTGGTGAATCCACGCCGAGTTAGGGGTCAAGGCAGGTATGGATGTGTTCGTCTCGTCAATACCTTCATTTTGATATAAAGAACGTCGAAAATGGTTAAGAAATGAAGAAGTTATGACACTTTGAAGTTTACCCAGAAATTCCGGCAAAACACTCACCTCCGGCGAAACCAGTCCAGCGACGCGAGGAAGAAGACGCGCGCGTGGGCAGCGCGTATACAGGGCGCGTGAGAGCTCCAAATTGAGTTCTAAAAATTGTCACGTGTTCGTGACGTCACCGTGGTATATTCACATACCCAAATTGAGCAACGTATGAGAAAGTTATTGAGGAATATTTTGTGTATGTACGTTAAATAACGTCAATTTTTACTTCTCGTATAGGCGAGGCTTGTACGGACGTCGGGCATGGCTAAGGGAGGCTCAGGGACCTACGAGACGTCGATGTGATCTGTGAGTGGGCAGTTATTTTTCAGTATATATATACGTATGCTTGACGTATTTCTTAGAAAACGTATTTTAAAAGAAATACGAATTAAATATCCTGTCATATATGCATCATATTTTAATATGTGCATTACCATAATTATGTATACTGTTGCATGGTGCTGAGGAGGCCCAGGTAAGCTACATTTGATATACATTTGATATACAGTTGATATACGTATGAAATACCTTTGAAATACATTTGATATACGTATGAAATACGTTTGGAATACGATTGAAATACTATGGAAATACAAAGGAAATATGATCGTGATATAATTGAGATACGATTGAGATATTATGCTGATAACGATCATGAGATATGATTGAGATATGAAGAATGATATGATAGAGATGTGATTGAGAGCTCATAACCTGCACCCCCGGTGTTAGTGCTCCCGCCCTGAGCAGGGCACAGTCTTTCACGTGATGTTCACCTCCCGCATCTCATGCTCAGCTTGGATCCAAGCTAGGTGCACAGTCCTGTCGTACAGACCACATTAGGTGGTTCTGACTCGTAGGTGACCCGCGATTATTCGCACAACCTTCACGTGATCGTAGCACTAGAGCGTTTATATGTATTGCACCCAGGCTTGTCGTACAGACCACTATAGGTGGTTCCGACTCGGTGGCAGGTTTAGTTGTTAAGATTGAGATTTGAGCTCTAGATTCAGCCGCACAGGTCACTTTAGGTGACTCCGGCTGCCAGTAACATGTTACTGATATGGTTTATACCTGAGCACTTGCATATCATTATGAGGCTTTGATTGGCATACCTGTGGGTATGATTGGCATACCTGTGAGTAGGATTGGCATACCTTGAGCTTGATTGACATATCTATACATACTTATATATGTTTATTTTCTGGGAAAGTATACAAGTTTTACGGAGAGGGGTTACAAAGTTTTTGAGAAGTGTTTGGATTTGGAAAAGATTTGTTTTACTGACCCACTCAATTTTGGTTTTACGCCCCTCCAGGTTCAAGAATTGCAAAGGTGTGGTGACTACGAGGAAATTCAACGGTGTTCTGACAGAATGGACCAAATGAGGACTCACTTTCGGGTGGTTCATCTTAGAAGTTGTATATTTTAAAGCTTCCGAACTGTGTAAATGGTTACGTCACTCTCACGTGACGGCCAGCATGCCCTCCTTCGGGACGGGGTGTGTCACTCATGCCTTCGGCTATCTGAGACACAATGGAGGTAAGATTAGCTAACTGTGACTGAATATCAGGTGCAGAACTTACCTCATGAACCTGCTGCCGTGGGGGTCCTCTTTGTCCCACTCCTTCATATTGTTGAGCGTTCAGCGCTCGGTTCGCGATCAAGACCTTGGCATCCCTGGGCGTCTTGTCCACCAATGCTCCACCCGCCGATGCGTCGAGCATTTGTCGTTCGATTGGTAGGAGCCCCTCATAGAAGTATTGCAGAAGCAACTCCTCCTTCATCTGATGCTGTGGACATGAAGCAACAAGAGATTTAAAACGTTCATAGTACGTAGGAAATGACTCACCTTCATCTTGTTGAATGCCACTTATCCTTTTACGCAAAAGGATGATTCGAGAAGTTGGGAAGAACTTCTCCAGAAAAGCCCTCTTCATGCTCTCCCACGATGTAACGGTTCCGGGAGCTAAGTCGTACAACCAATCTTTGGCTTTGTCCATCAAAGAAAATGGAAAAGCCTTCATCTTCAATATACTTCCGTCAACGTTGACGGGAGTCATACTTGAGCACACCACCTCGAATTCCTTTAGATGCTTGTTCGGATCCTCCATGGACATCCCATGGTACTTCGGAATGTGGTGGAGCAAGCTTGACTTCAACTCAAACTCCTCGGTCTTCCCTTCGGTCGGTGGGGGATATTGGATGCACAAAGGTGCTGCATTAGCCAATCCCGAAGCGGAAAGCTCCTTAAGTGTCCGGTTGTCTACGGCCATGTCTTGTGGCTCCTCAAAGATCCCTGCCGTGGCCTCTTCTTCCTCTTCTAGTACCTAACACAAGGAAAACAAAACAAAATCAGAAACTTCAACAAAATAAATAAATAAACAGAAATTAAACAATCCAAGGGATTAGCAAAGTTGCTAATCCCCGGCAACGGCGCCAAAAATTTGATGCGAACTAAGTAAGCACACAAATTAAAACCCTCTTGTGACAATTGTAGTATATGAATAAGTAGGGATCGTTCTTAACCGGGGATTAGGAGGGATTGCAAAATCACTTGGAAACTGACTCAAAAACGTAAAACAACCGTTAAAAACACTAAACTAGACTCAAAGAATGTAAAACTAAACAATAAAAAATACTAAAACAAATCAAAAGACTCAAAGAATACAAAACACTTATAAACACAAACTAAGACACTTTCTAACTAAATTAGACACTAAGGTAAAGGGGGATTGGTTTTGGATGAGATTAAACTAAATACACAGATTGTAATTTAAAGGCAGAATATAAATATGAATGTGATGAAAATATAGATGAATGCTAGCTAGAAGGTTCTTCTCCACACATGTCACACTTGCATACAAAATGATTTTCAGTTGGTCTTTCGATAAATTATGAAACTCAACACCCCAGGTTAATTAGGTCCGCTTAAATTAACCGTCAAGTTCTCCTTAAGTTAATGAATTGGATGGGTTAGCGCAACGCAATTCAAAACATTCTCCAAAAGTCCTTTACGTGAAAAGCACAATAAAGATACAATCAAAGATCATTAAGCGTCATGAAAACTATAAGTGTTGACGAGGCATTCGTTACTATGATGAGCATGAAACTAGTGCCAAGAATTCATTTAACGCGATTGTTTATAAGCAACCTCCACTACTTGTGAAAATAAGTACATAACTATTAGGTGAAATTCACTTATATTCTAGCGTCATATTCATGCATGAAAATTAAGCGTGCACTCTCAATCAACATACATAAATAAGTTATCGATCAAGCAGTTAAACAAATTGAATCCACAACTTATGAAATTCCAACCAAATATAATCAATTCATATTGCAAGCATAAACATGGTTTCGAATCACCCCCTAGCTAACTAGGGGGATTTAGCCTCTCATGTTCACAACAAGAAAAATAAAATTGAATTTAAACATAAAGAACAAAGGATGGATTACACCTAGAACGCCCAACGAATCCACGTGAATTTCTGCGTGTCTAAGTCCTCTTTCTTCTTCTCCTTGCTGCGGCAGTGAGGTTAAATGGATGATTTCGATGTTATTTTGGGTTGGGGATGGATTTAGGGAGGATTAGTGGTGCGGCAAGGTGGTGGAATTATGGGGGAAAGTTGCGGCTAGAATGAAAAATATGAGAGGATTCCGTTATGAATGGATGCACGGTTCATGGTAAAAAAATGGGAAAAAGTAGCTAAAAAATGATTAGGGTTATGGCATGCACGGCAATATGGTGTGAATGGGAAAAAGTGATGAATGGTAGGATTAATGAGATTTGCGGCTGTGATGGAGAAAAGGTGAATGGCCTTTTTGCGGATGGATAATAAAAATGGGATATGGTGCGGCTGATATTAATGGGAATTGGCTGCATTAGCTTAGGGTTTTTGGATGGAATAATGGGAAAGAATTAGGGTGTATGATTAATGGGGAAACAAATGCGGCTGTTGGAGAAAATGGAAGGAAAATGTAAAAAGGTGGCTGCGGGATGGATTTTAGGTTATGGACTGCACGGGTTTTTGTGAGAAAAAATGGTGGCTGCATGAATTTTTATTTCTTTTTAGTTTATTAGGGTTTTTGATAAATTGGGGGGGGGGGGGGGCCACGGCTGAATGGAATGGTGGGATTATGGGATGGTTTCCTTGCGGCTAAATGTGGGAAAAAGGATGGGAATGTGGGAAAAAGGATGGGATTTGCGGCTAGGGTTAGGAAAATGTATGATTTCAGAAAACTAACCCTAGCTTATTTAAAATTAAATCAAAGGCTTACGAAAATAGGAAATTAAAACATAAATATCAAGGTGCGGCTGGGAAGGGAAATAGGGCTAGGGCCTTGGTTTTGTGTCCTAGAGTGCCTATAAGGCCGTCAAAGTGGCTAGAAAATACGGACGTTTAAGTTTAGGAAAGGTTACCAAAACGGGAAACTTAGAGTTAACTTTCCTAAAATAGGAAACCTTGTTTGAGTAGGATTCCTCGTTTTGGTAAGAATTCATCGTTGGAGTAGGATTTCGTCGTTTCTTCAAGTCTTCAACTCATTCGTTCCTCTTTCGCTCCAAAAGACTCCAATTTGCATCTTCTTGCACACTTTGGCCTTATAATCTGAAAATACACAAAAGTGGCCTTAAACACTAAAACAACTAAGTAAACACAACATAAATGCACGAGAACAAGCTAATTAAGTCGCATGAATATGCTCCTATCATGATACTTCTCTATATGATTCAATTGAATAAGATTTGTAACATCTTCCTTAGTCATATTCATATGCTTTGGCCAAAGACTCTCGAATCATATCTTAGAGTATTCTCCTTCCATCATGGAAGGTTAGAGATCCCTTGTTGTGCATTCATATGCCTACATGACTAGATAGCTTGACCCCAACAATGCCGTGGACACTCCAATGGAATGCCGTTGACATAATCAAAGATCAAGGAACTAACCATTAGACATCAATGATGCCTCAGGTCAAAGGACTACTTTACATATTGCAACTATTGAGTTCTCACATGACATGTATGTTCGAACTCTTGTTTGATCGTTGTTCAGTGTACTCGATTACTCTTTCGAGCACCTATGTGTTTGCCTTAGTGTCCAACACCAAATGACTTGAGACTAGTTCATACTCACGCTTGAGTCGACATAACACATACTAACCTTAGCGGATTGTCAATGCCCAATTGGCAATCCTATTGCTTAAACACAAGATACTATAAATAGTGATTAACAATAAGCTTTGCCCTCTATTAAACATATAAAAGTTTAACACAATAAGTATTCCAAAAAGCTATTACATCAAATGAGTGGCTTTGTGGGCATACTTCCAACAATCTCCCACTTGCACTCAAAACCATCCTCCCATGTATCTAATACCCATCTTTTCCATATGGCGGTCAAGTTGGATTTGAGACATTGGCTTCGTTAGTGGATCTGCTACGTTATCGGCTGAAGCAACTTTGAGGATGTTGACTTTCCCCTCGGCAGCATATCTTCTAATGATATTAAAGCGCCTATCAAAATGCTTGTTCTTTTGATGTGCCCTGGGTTCCTTGGCTTGAGCTATCGCCCCATTATTATCACAGTACAAAGTTACTGGTGACGTAATGGTTGGAACCACTCCAAGTTCAGTGATGAACTTCTTCATCCAAAACGCTTCTTTGCCGGCTTCAGCTGCAGCGACATATTCAGCCTCTGTCGTGGAATCAGCAATTACACTTTGTTTCTTGCTTTTCGAGCTGACAGCCCCACCATTCAGAGTGAATACATATCCGGAGTTGGAACTTCTATCATCGACGTCAGATTGGAAATCTGCGTCTGTATAGCCTTCCAGCCTTCCACTCGCAACTCTGTCGCTCCTCCATGAACGAGGAACATGTCCTTAGTTCTTCTTAAGTACTTAAGGACCGTCTTGACAGCTGCCCAGTGTTCTGATCCTGGGTTAGATTGATATCGACTAGTAATGCTCACAGCATATGCGATATCAGGCCTTGTGCATATCATGGCATACATGAGACTTCCTATGGCGGAAGCATAAGGAATAGTATTCATTTGCCGTATCTCTTCAGGAGTCTTAGGTTCCATGGACTTAGAAAGGTGAATTCCATGTCTCACAGGAAGAAAACCTTTCTTAGATTGTTCCATCTGGAACCTACTTAGCACCTTATCAATGTACATAGATTGGGATAATCCAATTAATTTTCTGGATCTATCACAATAGAGCTTTATCCCAAGTACATAAGATGCATCTCCTAAATCTTTCATGTGGAAGGTTTTGGACAACCACACTTTTACAGAAGAAAGTACTGCAGTGTCATTCCCGAATAGTAATATGTCATCTACATATAACACTAGGAATACAACTGCTTCCCCAACGACCTTTTGATAAACACAATTGTCGTCTTCGTTTTGAGTAAAACCAAACGTTTTGATTTCAGTATCAAAAAGAATGTTCCAGCTCCTGGAGGCTTGCTTAAGTCCATAAATGGACCTCTGAAGTTTGCATACCTTA